TTTGGATTTCTTGGCCCCATCCCTGAGTTTCTGATTCAGAGTCATAGAAGACGCTGATGCTGCTAACACAGAGACCATCCTTTAACACAGCATTAGTCTTAGACAGTAAACATTTGACTACCATCTTGGAAATATCCAGCCTGATCTCGATACTAAGCACATGACAACATGCATTTCTGCAAAACAAGTAAAAGAGTCTAACCCCTCCTAAACAAGTGTGTTATGAGTGTTTTGTAATTCGCATAGTAAGTAGCATTCTTCTTTTACAGAAAAATAGGATATTTTATATTACTGTTTATATACACAAAGTATGATGGTCTGCTCGTTCATTGTGTATTAATTGTGCCAGTACTGTGTTAGGTGCAGAAGATACACTAGTAAGTAAAAGAGACATATTCCTTGCCCTAAGAAAGAAAACAGGTAATTACAGTACAAGTGATCACCACGAAAGTGGTGGAGACATAAAATATTATAAAGTCACATAGCAAGGGATTCGATCTAGTCAAGAGAACTTAGGAATAACCTTTCCTGCCCTAAAATGCTCCTTTATATTTATAGCAGCTTAAAACTTTGGGGATTTCCCTATAAATATGCCAGGGTATATGACGTATACAATGAGCTCTAAGTCAGAATAAGTCACTTCCTTTTCTGAGATTCCATGGACCCTGCACTTATCTCTATTATCACACTGTACAGTAACTTTAACTTTATTCTTCATCTCTTTTGCTCGCTGTGACCTGCTTGAAGGCAGAGAGTATCTGTTTTACTTTGTGGCCCTAGTTCCTACTGGGTTGCCGAAAAAGTTATGGCACATTTTTGTATAGAAAAACAGAATAGTATCAAAGTGGAAATGGAAGAGGAAGGAAAAGAGGAAAGAAGGAATGATAAGAAGGAGGGAGAGTACTGTTCTTACAGTAGGATGAATACTTTTGCTATTTTACTACGAGTTAGTATAAATCACATCCAACCATTTGGTCCCCCATTATAACCAACAGCATGCATTAGCAACTTGGCTGGTATGGGTAGTGGATGCCATCTGTAAGAGCAGAATAGAATGAAATCAATTGGCCCATGTAGGGATAAAACCTGTTAATCTACCCTCATTAGCACAATGCTCTAATCAACCAAACAAACTAGTCTTAAAATCAATGGCAAATTTTTGATAACCCTCAATGACTATGAATCAGCAAACCAATTCCAGAGAACCTAAGTATAGTAAAAGAGGATATTACATCATTTCACTGCTCCTTACATTTAACTGTTTACCTTGAACAAGAAACAATGTATAATGCTCAGTTCATCAAGATCATTTTGAGGAAGAATAGAGTGCCCACTAATTGCATGGCCCCATATCCTCTCCTCTCTTTAATGCTACATGACATGGAAAGGGGTTTATTTCTGTTTTAATTAACTGGTTACTGCATTAGTCTGATTTACCAGCCTTACAGAGTAACATAACTTAAAAATTTGATAGATGGCCATATTTAAAAGTAACCAAAATAAAAGGAAAAACAAAATCACAGGATGCCTGGGCCTACAATGATTTATCTTAGACTGGTAGTGAACAAAGCTGATTTTGATTCATTTCCCTGCCAGAAGGAAGAAACAGCTCATAAAACATAAATGAAGAGTAGGCTGGTAAGTGGTGGGTGTTTCTTTGCAATACTAGTGGCAAAGAGAAACAGAGCCAACAAACAGCAGTAAAATGAAACTAAATGATACTTACTTGTAGAGGTCAGGTTGAGGCTGTTCACATTCAATTGCTGCTCGGAGGTTATCAATGGAGCTGGCTGCACACAGGGCCATGGTATCACGTACTGCATAATGTGTCTAGTTGAAAGCAGAAGAAAATCAAAAACAAAAAAGTGTTTCTGCTCACTAATTACAGTAAAAGCTTTACAATAATAATAAAAAGTGATGCACATTTCCCACAAAGTAAGTTTTATGGTATTATTCTTAAAATATGTTACAAATAACTAGATAACCGTGTTGTAGGATTTTTTTTTTTTTTTTGGAGAGGTTTTCGCTATAGGGCGCATGCACTCACCAGACAGAGAGAGACATAGAGACAGAAAGCGAGAAATCACCTCCCAGGGGGGATAGTCACACCGCAATCCCTTCTCCTCCATTCTCCTCTCGGGATCTTGGGCATGCACGCACACGCGCCCGGCCTGAGTTTTAAGCCACCGGGTCCGGGACACGAACCGCAGTCGACTATGTGGGAGTCCAGCGACAGCCATTACGCTAACTGCTGGTTCCCGGGATTTTAAAGATAATGAAAAGGACTAAAAGCTCTTGATACTGACAGCTAAGAGGATTCCATTTGCAGTATGCATATAATTAACTGAAAACACAGTGAAAAATTTAATACATTTACTTTTCCCTCCTATTTATAGAAAGACTTATTTTGCCAACTAAATTGTATGGCACTGTAAGATAGAAACATATAAATTGAGTATAACTTTTGTGGTCCTAAGAATGCTACAATTTTGCCAACAGCAAGAAAAAAAATCATTAGTAGTTCCATTACTCAAATAGCTTAATTAATGGTCTTGAAAATGTTCAACATGGTAACATTTTGTACAAGGGGCAGGGAGATGGTGTGTTTTGTATTAGACAGACAGAATATTGTGCTAATCTGTATTATACACTTGATTCATGCAGAACTCAAGGCAGGCTCCAATGAACCCATTTATAAATCATCAAACAAGGGTTAATGCAGACGCAAAGAGTGCATTGCTTATGCAGAAGAAAAAGCTGCTACCATATTCTTCAGGGAATATTACGGGACTGCCTGAGCTATATTTAAAACCATCTCCTGATTTTGAAAACCTCTGTATTTTTGCTGATTTTATCAGATCAATGTAACTGAAAAAAGAAACTACTTGAGAGTTTTTTCCTCTAAACAACTTTTTTCAGTATTAGGAAAACTTAAAGGTAGATTTTTAAATTTTTATCTTGATATTCCCTAAAATAGAACTGTTTTTGAACACCAAATTCTACTAGTTCATCACCATGCCTTTGAAATACAGACTTAGTCATCTAATAATAGGTAAAGTTCTTCTTTTATATAGTGAGTCCTATCCCTCAACACCAGAAGAAATAAAGGAATAGAGAACTACTCCAAGGATATACCCAGAATAAGCACCTCAGCAACCCTCTATTTAAAAAAAAAAAAAAAAGAAAGAAAGAATGAAAGTGCTGGGCCAGCCCCATGGCATAGTGGTTAAGTGCTGTGCACTGGGTTCCAGATCCCATGTGGCTGACTACAGCTCAAATCCCAGACTCAGTGACTTAAAAAACATACCAGGGCATGTGCATGCTCCAAATCCTGACAGGATGGAGGAATGGAGGGAAAAGTATTGTGGTGTGACCTCACTTCATTGAGAAATTCTCTCTCTTGCTCACCTTTCTTCTTCCCTCTCTCCCTTCTTCCCTCCCTCTTTGGCAAGTACACATGCCTTCTGACAACAGAAGAACAAAAAAAAAAAAAAAGAGAGAGGTAATATAAAGAGGATACACCTTCATTCCCTGCAAGCTTTTGATGGTGACCAAGAATTACTATGCTGGAACATACAAGGGAAGTTACCTCCTAAATTAATTAAGTTAATTTTTTGATACATTCATAATTCTTAATTGTAATAATGTAAATACTTGACAATTATACCTTAAGGATAACCTAAATTAATTAAGTTAATTTTTTGATACATTCATAATTCTTAATTGTAATAATGTAAATACTTGACAATTATACCTTAAGGATAAAAAAAATCAAATTATTCCAGAATAGATTTCCTATATCTGAGGAATAAAAATTTTTAAAAAAGTATCACTTTTAGAATAAAAAATAGATCAAAATGAAAGGTTAGAGTATGTTAAGTTGTTTTAATAGTTAATATAGTTTTGGCCTACACTTAACTCCCATTTGAAGAAGCCTAAATAAAATATTAAGTGGGTTGTGTCAACATTAAATTCAAGAAGTGCTATGAAAATTGTGGTGGCTTTTATTTGGGATGTAGATTCCCCCCTCCCAACATAACCCTATTCCCCAAAGATGAATATTTGCTTAGAAGTTAAAAGACACTTATACAGCAGCTGCCTTCAAATGCAAAATCTATATGAATAGGTAAAAAATAAGATATAAGATTAGGATATAGTAGAAAGTAGTACTGCATGATTAACTATCTTGAATTCAAAATGTTTTAAAAAACAACCAAAGCAGGGACCAGCAGATGGTGTAATGGTTATGTCGCTGGACTCCCACGTAGTCAACCGCAGTTCAGCCCTGGAGGTGGAGGCTTAAAACTCAAACAGGATGTGTGTGTGTGTGTGTGTGTGTGTGTGTGTGTACGCATGTGCACATGCCCAAAACCCAAGAGGAGAATGAAGGAGATGGGATTAGGGTGTGGCCACGGCCTCTGTGGGGTGATTTCTCACTCTCTGTTTTTCTGTATCTGTATCTGTCTCTGTCTCTCCAGGGAGTGCACTTGCCCTATAGCCGAAACCTCTCTTAAATTAATAGACACAAAAATGAAAATTTATCTGCTGATGATGTCTTTGACTTGACTAATATACACTGTATTAAGCGTGAGAAAAAACAATGTTGTATACTCTAAAGATGTGCAGCGATTAAATGTAAATAAAAAATAAAAACAAAAATTTTTAAAAAGGAATCAAGGTCAAAAATAGAGAGTAAGACACATTTTACAAACTGTAGTGATGTACAGTGATTGAATGTGTTCAACAAATTCAAATAATTTAAAAAATAGCATACTTAAGGGGAAAAAAGAGATTTGAAAATACTTAGGTAAGGTTCAATCTCTATTTACCTTGCAATTGGATTCCCCATCAAGACTGGCTGTAGTGACATAACAGGTTCCATCAGTGGTGCTAGATGACAGAAGAATGAGATCACAGGGAAAGGTTTCATCAGCCTGTACTTCTACTACATCGCCAACCTAGAATGGAAGAAAAATAAATATTTTAAATACAAACAAAGTATTTATTATATAATACCTCTCACTAAACTCAAAACATTAGCAACAGATGTCTCCTGTTCTGGGTCTTGAACAGCAGTCAGCATCCTATACCATCTGAAAAGTGATGAACGCGTATGACTCAATATTCAGAAATGTCTTCAGGGTCATACAACTCATGGGACCAGCAGTTAGCATAATGGTATCTTGCTGGACTCCCATGTAGTCGACCACAGTTCTAGTCCCGGACCCGGTGGCTTAAACTCATACTGGGCACATGTGATGTGTGCCCAAGATCCCGAGAGGAGAATGGAGCAGAAGGGATTGCAGCGTGGCCATCCCCTCTGGGGGGTGATTTCTCGCTTTCTGTCTCTCTGCCTCTTTCTGTCTTTCTGGCGAGTGCATGTGCCCTATAGCAAAAAAAAAAAAATAATAATAATAATAATAATCCTCTCGCTGA